TATATATATATAGAATTGAAGCAGGATATATATATAGAATTGAGATAGGTAGAAAAGTGCAGACAGAAGAAACTGCATAAACAAAGCCGTGGAGGTCGGCAAGACGTAGGCAAGACCAGGGAGCACTGGCAGTAAGGAAGGCAGTAAGGAAGGCAAGCTGACTGGTGCCTGAGGAACAGAACCAGGATACAAGGGAAGATTGTAAAGGTCACCTGGGATGATGTCATCACTAAGGATGACATCCTGAATTTTATTTAATTCAGAAGGCAATGAGGAACTATTTGTGGGTTCAAGCTCAGAAATTATAGAATAGGAGGTTGAGGCCCAAAGCATCATTAGAATAGCCTTCTAATCCAGATTTTTTTTATTTATTTATTCTCCAGAAAGACATGTGCTTATGTAATGGAGGGCATTCTTGACCATGGTGGAACTCATATATTTTCATGATAATAAAAATGAAACTCCCAGAGTTTGATTACTACATCATAAATATAAACTGTTTTCCTTTTTTTTCTCCAAAGAATTACTATATGTTTGTCCTCTGCCACACAACATTTTAAATGCCATGAAAAAAAGTAAAAATAAACATGCAAGTCAGTCTTTTCAATGGAGACGTTATAAGGTAATAAGAATCTGAGAAGTACATGTGGAAATGGAGAAAAATTTTGCTTTGGTTAAAAAAATAATAGTAATAATAATAAACATAGGATTGAAGGGGAATTAGGAACCAATTGCACATGTCTATATGGGCCAGATCTCTCTCTCTCTCTCTTCTTTTTAATCAGTTTTCTGTGCATCTACATACATATGTCAGCAGTACAGAAACCCTCAAAAGGCAGGCCAAGGGCACTTATCAAGTTCTTAGTGCTAGGGATAGTTCTGAGGCTAGGACATCAAAATACATTTATGGACTTAACAGGACATGTCTGTTTTTAAAATGTATTCAAAACAAACTACAAAAAGACAATGGCTTTTGGCAAACAGAATATTTTCTATGAGAATAAACAATGGGTCTGGCCAGTTTTCCTCAAATTATATTTCAGTGGTACCTGCATCAAGACAATGGGAATGATCTTCTAAAATGCAGGTACCAGGGGCGCCTGGGTGGCTCAGTGGGTTAAGCCTCTGCCTTCAGTGCGGGTCGTGATCTCAGGGTCCTGGGATTGAGCCCCGCATCCGGCTCTTTGCTCAGTAGGGAGCCTGCTTCCCTTCCTCTCTCTCTGCCTGCCTCTCTGCCTACTTGTGATCTCTGTCAAATAAATAAATAAAATCTTTTAAAAAAATTAAAATAAAATGCAGGTACCAGGGCATCTTCCAGATCTAGCAAATCAGAATCACTGAGTGTAAGGTCTGGTGACCTGAACTTTTATAAACTGCCTACAGAATCTGTTATATATGTTCAGGCTTTTGAATCTTTGCTCAGCTCGAAGGATACCCAAACAAAACTGCTTGGCCGAAGGACGGAAGTGGGAGGCAGACATTTTTCACTGTAAATTCTTCTGTGCCTTTTGAATTCTGCATTTTTCCACAAACAGTACTTGCAAGAATGGGCATCACATATTTATATTTTCACACCCAGACCCGGCAGAGCATTTCTGGCAGTAGGATAAGAAAAATGTTTGTGGATTTGGTCATAAATGGCATGGTTTATAATAAATATTAGAAGTAACACACTTTTTTACAACCCTATTTCCTCTCCCCTCCCCTTGACCTCAAAAGAAACAGATTACTGTGCTGTCAACTGCTTTTACACCAGGACACATGTTTTGCTCCTTATTCTTCTTGGCAGTGATTCATGCATCTCCAATAACTGGAACTTACTAGATTCATATGGTTGAGGCTAGAAAGTGAGATAAAGCTGCCCACACCTTTCTCTTAGCCACACTTTTACAAATGATAATCTGCTTCCTCTGCCATAAATACCAGTGTATATGCTATTTGGCATTTAGCTTTTGCTTTTTACAGAAAAATAATCATAGTGAGTATGTTGTTAAACATATCTGTGTCTATCAGGCTAGAAAGAATGTTTTCAACTGTTAAACAAAATTTATACCTTTGCCAGAATTTCCAATGATTTGAGTTTTAAGCAGCTAATTAGTCCTTTTGGTAACAATTACTTATAGTATGCATGAAACAAAAACTGTTGTAGAAATGCAGTTGTAACTTCTTTGACGTTTTCTTTCTTATTGGATTCTACATGTTGGATAAAGATAATTTATTTTGATACATTTACGCTTTTTAAAAAGACAAACAAATCCTTAGTTCTGAAGCACTCAAAAATTATAAAGGCATCCTCTCTAGGGAATGATTAGTATCTATTTTCCCTGAACTGGTAACCCTTTTAAGCTTCCTTGTTTTTATTCCAGCAGAAACTATTGCCAAGAAATAAAGTGACATTACAGTTGTCATTGGTCAGAACAAGAGTAAGAAAGAAATACTGTCTGGAAAACAAACTAATTACTTTACCAAAATATTGTCATTACACGTCTGTTCTCACTAGTCCTGTTGTTTGTTGTGCGTACCTTCCTAACTAAAAATTAATAAAGAAAACTTGGAGATGTTACATGTTCAGCAAGAGATATAGAATATTCCATGTGTAGAGAGAATATTGTGATTCACACAGACACACACACACACACACACACACACCTATAGACACACTATTTAAAAAGAAGTTATTTTATGTTCCGACCAATTATATTCCCTCCGTGGCCCTGTATTTCTTAGAAAAACAAAACAATCCCAGGCTTGAGTTCAAAGTCTGAAAATGTCTTGAGGTAACACATACTACAAAACCATCACACTGAAACAGTCCTTTTGCTAATGATGCACTTTGCATTATGTTAACGTAGATACACAAAAGAAGAGCTGAAAACCTGGGGAAGGTTCCATGGCTGGCAGCTAAGTAGCTTTTCTTTTACAGGATTAAGTTCAAAAGTATTACCTTAATTTTTTCCAATCAGGTTAACTTTCATCAAAAGCATTGTCATTAACTAGCTCATAACTTCTGGAGTGCCTCTGTCTTTAGTAGACAGAGTAGCATTTTTTACTTTCTATACTCATATAGGTAAAACAGTGACACTCTGCTTTAAATGTCACAGAGTAAAATGTTTTCGGGATTGAAATGTAAATTCAAAGAGAGTTCAAATGTATTAGTATCACAAAGTCACACAGTATCTCCACATTTCCCATTTTATGCCCAATGCAGATGCTATTCAAGTGAAAATAGAGACACATAGATGAATTGATAAATTTCTCATAAATAAAGCAAGAAATATAAACCAGTGGCTAAGTAGATTAATTTACATATATACATATTACATTGTATTAACATTTTTTTCATTTAATAAGCAACTTGAAGTACTTTGCTGTTGTTGAGCTACTTGGAAAATGTGGCTTATAAAACAAATGATGAAAGACTGCCTCTAACAGACATTAGAAAGGAATTTTCAAATGTGACATGATTGTCTTGAGTCTCTCAATAGGTGATTTTTTGATAAATTTTGGAGGAGAAAGGAAAGGGAAACAGAACACATAGAACTGAAGCTACTATAAAAATAAACAGAAGGTTAAATTTTAGAAGTCTCATTTTTCAGAAATACCCAATATAGTAAAAGTCTTGTTTATCAATTCCATGACTGCATCAGTTCTCTGGTAGCTATTTAAAGCTCTCAACGTATTTTATTTGTGAAAGTTCTAGGACTTAAAATATGTTCAGGCAGAGTGAATAGAAATACAGTTCAATATTCTTGATCACAGTTGAAGCTTTTCATATAAAAGCCAACAGGACTTATTCTATAGAATAAAGGATATCGCTGTTTCCTCTTATTCATAGTTGTAATTAGATTTTTTCTGATTCATTGTATCAAATCTTAATGTAACCGTTCTCTCATCTCTGCTACTTTACCTCAATAAATTTCCTTGAACATTTCTTTCAGTCTCTAATGAATGAACCTATTATATTCATTATTATAATGATTATAATAACTATTATTACTATTCATTCACACGACATTATATATTTTAGGAAAGTACTATTATCACATGAATTATTTTTATGACCTTTTTTATAGCAGCATAAATGCGACAGTGGTTTCTCTGCCATTGAAAATCTCATGCAGAATTATTTCCATTTGTCAACACTTCACCAACAAAAACTATTTGCATTCACTTGAAGCAATAGCTTCTAAAAAGCCCATTCTACATTCCAGACCAATTTAATCAAACCTGTAGAATTTAAATTTATTTTATTATGAAGAAAATGCTGTGATTTTCTTTTCAATGCATGAATTCAATCTAGGTCAGCTGCTTTCATAGGGAGAGTTGATTTTATCTAGCTAAACACTGAACACTTGTCTTAAAGGAGGTATCTGATAATGGAAATAAGAGACCCAATGACTATGGAAATGGGTTTGAGAGTGTTATTGATGGAAAATAGTTAATACTTATTTTAGGAAAAATTCAGTCCCTAGTCTTGTGTCATTGTGGCCTCTGATGAATACAAATCAGACGATATTCAGTTCATGCTAATAATGGTGATACACTGATTATTTATATTCTTTAACGGGAAGTACTACCTTATAAGCCAAATTAAGTAGATAGAAATTATAAAATTCCAATCTCTTGGGATTCTGCTGCCACAAATTATAAATAGGTCACTGATATCATGAAGCAATTATGTGTGAGCATCTAGGATGCTATTCAGCATCAAAGTAATTGCACCAACATGGATATATGGCAGTTGGACTTGTTTTGGTTGTTGTTGTTGTTATGAAATATATTAAAATCTCAAAAAAAAGTGTTCAGCAAGTCTTTTTAGTAACACATCTATATGCATTAATGTAATGAGAGTATCTGGGATATGTCCACAATTCAGAAACACGACATGAACTGAAACCCTGTGCAGAGACTACTGAAGAAAAACTAGCATTGCTATGATTGCGCTGTCCCCTAGGATTAAAATAACTCGTGTTTACACTGAAGTCATTTGCCTTTTTCAGATCAGCATTTTCATGACACATCTGTCCAACTATGGGAATGACCGCCTGGGACTATATACATTCGTTAATCTGGCCAACTTCGTGCAGAGCTGGACCAACTTGCGACTTCAGACCCTGCCCCCAGCGCAGCTGGCTCACAAGTATTTTGAGCTCTTTCCTGATCAAAAAGACCCTCTCTGGCAGGTAACATGGTTTCAATAATTGGTATAATTAATTAATCCCATAAACATAAACATATCTTGGAGTTCAATGAGATAATCCAAATCTGAAAAGTAAAGGCATTTGGGGAAAAAAAAAATAATGCATTTTGGAAATGTTAGTCGACTTGAGAAAACACTTCCTCCTGAATTGCAGTCTTACATTATTGCTTCATAGTGGGCAAAATTCTGTCCCTATGCCCATTAGGAATTATGAAGTTCTGAAACCTCCGCTAAGGGTTTCATAGATGCAATGTTTTCAATCAGGAGTGAGGGATCAATTTGCAGATTGCAAAGAGCCAAAAAGAGTAGAAGAGTGGTAAACAGGCTGGATGCTAGGCAAGTTCCAGGCTATCTGGCTCCAGAGGCTGTGCTCTTAATCACTCTTCTAAACGAGAGTTACTGAATACTAGAGAGTTACTAACAGAGCTGATGGTACAATGATAACAATCATCAGAAGTGGAACTGAGTAAATTTCACAGACTGAAGTCACAGTAAGCTTTGAACTATATACTCAGCTCATTCAGCTTTGAATGTAATCTGATTGCTGCCTGACCACAAACAGATACTCCAGGAGACGTAACTATACATTATAGAATGTGGAAGTCGGTGCTTGTGGAATTATCAGTACATATTACTTTGCAGTTGCTAGAACCCATGTCTTTTTTCTTAACCACTACAAAATATCACCAAATGTTAGCCATTGAAAAGACATGCAATTTTCCTGCAGATTTAACACTTTAATTTTTTTATTTCCTTAAAGATTTTATTTATTTGAGAGAAAGAGAGAGCATGAGCAAGGGGAGGGGCAGAGAGAGAGGAAGAAGCAGACTCCCCGCTGAGCAGGGGACCCAACACAGGGCTCCATCCCAAGACCCCGAGATCATGACCTGAGCTGAAGGCAAGTGCTTAAACGACTGAGCCACCTAGGTACCTCAATACCTTATTTTTAAACTGAAATCATTATTTGAGGTGACAAGTTTGAAACAACTCTTTTTTTTTCCAGAACAGCAGCCGAAAAGAACACCCTCACTTTAGTCTTAACTAATCTGTTGCTTATTGTAAATAACCAGAGAGTCTATTTAACTACATACATCCGTAATATTAACAGAAATAGAGGACTGTCCTGATTGCTATATCTGAAATAGTATTAAAGGGTACTTCAATTCTTCACATAATGTGTGCTTTGCGGTTGAAATTAAGGATGTTCTAGATCCATCTTACATAGTCGTTTTGGTTCAGGTACTATACTATACGCCAAAAGCAGGTCCCTAAGGTGGTAATTCACCTTCATTTTACCCTTTTTGCCCAAATCTGGTGCTTTTTAGGATCATAATCTGTAAAGTTATAGTATTACATATACAATTACCAACCTCTAAAGGCAAATGAAAAGACTTTGCTATCTCTTTAAATAGTTTTATTATGGCCAGATGGGTACCTCTTTGAAGCACAGCAAGATAGCTTAAAGTTACTCAGAATAAAAACCTTACACCTTGTATTTCATTTACTTATTGAATGGCAAGAGGGTACCTTCCTTCATGTTAGCAGGAAGCACAATCTCTGCCCAGCACTGTGTTGGGGCTCACCATTTAAAACATACTCACACACAATTAAGACATAGAACTGCCAAAAGCAGAAGAAATATTAAATCCTCAGTGCTAGGAGGCTGTTACCCACAGTGGAAATGTCTCCTCTCCCCCAACACCTCAGTAGAAACTCAACTTCAGGATGGAAAGGAGTTACTTGAAAGCTTCCCTGATGCCACTTCAAGGCCTTCATTTAAAAGAAGACACATGACCATGACTCTGTTTCCTGGAATATCTCTTTAAGGACAGGAGTTGAATAACTCAGGGCACCTGCATGGCTCAGCTGGTTGAGCATCTGACTCTTCATCCCAGCTCTGGTCATGATCTCAGGGTCATGAGATCGAGGCCCTCCTTGGGCTCCGCACTCAGCAGAGAGTCTGCTTGAGATTCTCTCTCTCCCTCTTCCTCTGCCCCTCCCCCTACTCACTGCCTGTTTCTCTCTCTAACATAAATAAATAAATCTCTTTTTTAAAAAATAGTTGAAACTCAGGGCGCCTGGGTGGCTCAGTGGGTTAAGCCTCTGCCTTTGGCTCAGGTCGTGGTCTCAGGGTCCTGGGATCGAGCCCTGCATCAGGCTCTCTGCTCAGCAGGGAGCCTGCTTCCCTTCCTCTCTCTCTCTCTGCCTGCCTCTCTGCCTACTGTGATCTCTGTCTGTCAAATAAATAAATAAAATCTTAAAAAAAAAAAGTTGAAACTCTTAGCACACATTGGACATTCACAAAAAAAATACATCTCTATATTCTCCTCCCATTTAGAATCCTTGTGATGACAAACGCCACAGAGACATTTGGTCAAAAGAAAAAACCTGTGATCGCTTACCAAAATTCTTGGTAATAGGACCCCAGAAAACTGGTGAGAGCTTTTTGTTATGATTACCAAACAGTGCAAAACTCCCAATGACTAGAGAGTGAGTTCAAGTCACAATGTGTTTTCAAAATTCTTATAAGTACTGATGAATGAATAACACATTTTGTTCTCTGATATAATCTGTTTAGCTTGGTAATGTACTTAAATGCTTGTAAAGGAATTTTTTTAAGTGAAAAAGATGAAAATAAGTGTCATATGGTTTGGATGTTTAAGAGTCAGTTTGGTACCAAATGTTAATTTTTTTCCTAAGACCTAAATTGAAAGGTGGTGTTGCTAACATTTCTAAAATCAAAATGAATCGCATCTTGAGGAATTCATCAGAAGTCAAAGCAGATACATATAAGTATTTACTACTCTTTATAATCAATCCCTTCCAGAAAAACAGCCTCTTCCTGCCATCTTCCTGATGTAGTTTATTTCTAAACTATTTTTTGCAGAGATGACTGTTTTCTAAAAATCTAAAGGGTGTTTGACAAGCAGAACTCCAGACATAAACAAAACTTTGTGCTAACCAAAGGTATTTATTCACACCCAGGAGAAATCTTTTGCACCTTTTCTTAAATTGGCATGCAATTTTTTCTCCATAAACTTCTTGTTTCTTTAAGAATCAGTATTAAAATGAAGCCCAGTGGAAACTTTAAAATGCCAGACATCCATGCTGTATCCTGTATGATAAATTATTTGGGGTTCTTGGATTCTGGCTTCACAGAAAACAGCCATTTCAGCCATATGCCTTTCTGAGGGGAATACCTACCATTTCCTCATTTGTCCAAAAATAACTAGGGAAGATTTTATGTAATGTACACAGAGAGTTTAGCCTATTCATTTTCTCTTGGTCCCATTTGCCAATATCAATTTGAAAACAATAATAAATGTGATTAAAAAAAAAACTTTTCTCATCCTTATTTATTTGTCTGTATCTATTTAAAGTCAAGAGACAACTAGAAAAACATTTAAACTGAAGTCTCTCCAGGAACTCCCACTGTCATTACTGATCACATCTCTCTGAAGCTTGGCATATTAAATTCACTTCAGAAAGCCCCACAGGAAGCGCATCCTCTTGTTTCCTGCTAGATGTGCAGACATTTTAAAATCAGGGTTAGACGGCAAAACCATTATTTGCCATCTTAAACTCAGTTGGATTTCCAAATGTTAGTGACAATTGTATATGACATTTACCTTTGGAAGAAAATTTTTTATCTCCTTTTTATAGAAACTAAATTTTCCCCAGTTTTGTAGTGGTATAATTTACATGTAAAAAAATTCACCAATTTTAGTGCAAATTTTGATGAATTTTGACAATCATGCACAGTTGTATAACCACAACACTGACACTTCTATCTCAAAAACAAACAAACAAACAACAAAAAAAAACAGTTCTGTCTCCCTAAAAGGTTTCTCCATTCACATGCCTTTGTAGTCAATGCCCCTCCCCATCCTCAGTCACAGGAAACTACTTTCTGCTACTACAGTTTTGCCTTTTCTAGACTTTCATATAAATGGAAGCATTAAATGTACAATCTTTTGTTTTTGACTTCTTTCACTTAAGATAATGCTTTTGAGATTCATCCATGTTACCATGTATAGCAATACTTTATGAAATCGATATTTTAAATGGAGAAACATCTTCTGATCAGTTTCATAAAAATAAAAGAGCTTCATTTTAACTTCAGTTTTTAGCAAAGGCATTTTTCTGAATAATTTTGCATAGATGTATAATCTTCTGCACAAATATTTTTAGTGTTGAAACTGACAAAAAATAAAACAAGATTTATGGATGGTTATTTGAATGGGTGTGTCTATGATTAGGTGGTGGTTTTATACACATACACACATTATATACATTCAAACACACATACATACATACACACACACACACACACAGGACAGTTTATTCAGACCCAAGGATGTGAGAAGGTAAAGAAAGAATTCAGAAACCACAATCTAACAATTTTTGGCCACTGATACATTATGACTTTTATTGACTGTGTAATATTTTTTCAGTTTGCTTATTGATCCTGGTCATACAATTAAAAGCAAACAACTTGATTTAATACAATTTTAAAAAATAAAATTCAGAAAAGAATGTTTCCAGTTGATCAATGAGAGGAATTAATCGGTTTTCTTTTTTCACATTATAATGGTCATACTTCCTATCCTTACAAAGATTTTATTCTTTTCAATTTTTTTTAAAGCATTACTGAATTTTATCTCATAAAAGCTGTTATTTTAAAAAAATTCTTGGGGTGCCTGGGTGGCTCAATCCATTAAGCATCTGACTCTTGATTTCGGCTCAGGTCATGATCTCAAGGCTATTAGATAGAGCCCGGTGTGGAGCTCAGTGCTAGGCTTAAGATTTTCTCTTTCCCTCTCCCTAAACTCAGATTGCCTCACTTTTTCTCGTGCAATCTAAGCTATGCCCTTTAGCTCATAATTTAGGCTCTAATATACTAATTCTACAGTTTATAACACTGTTCATTTTGAAAAAATCACACCCTTGATTCCCAATAGTCACAAACCTACATGGGCAGCTGTGATAGGCCATTCTCTTTCCAAAAGTGCAGATTTTATAAGTTATGTCATTAGGAAAGGACAAAATTTTTTTAAAAAACTATTTTTGACACCACTTTTTACATAGGTAAGTACATTCAAATTTAAACAAACCTGTTGAAAGTTTAAACTCTGTCTCAAATTTAATAAACTTTCTTGGGCCTCTAGAAGAACTTTATAGAACCCAAGTTCTGGTTTTGGTGATGTAATATCTTATATGAGACAATGGGATCTTTCATTTATATAATTCTTGATTAAAATCGAAATATCTTCAGGCACAAAATGTCATTTCATCTTCAGAGAAAGCCTATGAAATGAGCAAGGCAGGTGATTTTCTACTGAAAAAGCCAAGACAAAGAGAAGCGAAAAGCCAAAGTCACAAACCAAATCAGTGACAGAGATGCAGTCAAACAGTCCCCCCAATGGGCTCTTCTCCTCATAACATACTTATCTGCAGTTTTTTAGAAGTTGCTTCTTTTAAAATGCTGGTTACCTATTCAGTTTAATTCAAGGAGTACTAATACGTATCTGTTTGGATCATTACAATACTTAGTTTATTGATGACTTTGGAATGCTAATAATAGGAAACTTTATTTTCCTTTCATTAATTTCTAAATCTCTATTGTCTTTTCAGGAACCACTGCTTTGTATTTGTTCCTGGTTATGCATCCTTCCATCTTTAGTAACTCCCCCAGCCCAAAAACCTTTGAGGAGGTACAGTTCTTTAATAGAAATAACTACCACAGGGGGATTGATTGGTAAGATGGGTTATTAGTATAAATCTAAAAGTATATGTACTGTGCACAGTTAAAATTAGTGTTAATATTTATAAACATATAAGTTTGTAGCCACAAATAAAAGTTATCCTCTGTGCCTTGGAAATGGATTGAATAAAATGAAGAAGCACAGAAATTATTCATAAGAAACTTTTCTCAGTTTGTTAAGGGACTTGTTACCTCAAGGGGTCCATATGTAATTTCAATTTGCATTAACTATCTTTGATGGTAATTATAGATATAAAGTCAGAGAAATACCACAAGACCCAGGAATTTTGTTCCTCTCTACTCTTAAGAAAATACTTTCATAGCTTTCTCTTCTTGCATGCTTTGCATTATGGTGAGGCTACAGTCCACATACATAATTTTCTATTTTGTTTTGGCATAAAAGGTAAATAAACAAATAGAACTAGAAATGTGTATATATTTCATAAGTAATGAAAATGAAAAAACTATCAACAATATACAAAATTTAATCTTTGGTCTTTGAATTGAAATTGGAACTATATCAACGATCTGAGGAAAATAGTTAAAAGTTAAAATGTCAAATATATACAAAATACAGTAATATAGTAGGAATGGATGTTGTACATGAACATGTTAATAATAAAATATATCTTTAAGTCTTGCTGTTAAAGGTGTAAATTCTAGACAGAAAGTGATATCAAAGAGTGGAATTATTATAATAATTCTAGAGCATAAATATAAACATTTTGCATGTATTTTCGCATAAAGAGTTGTTATATATTAACTTCTGTTGTCAGATTGCATGATCTCAATTTTATCAGTATCAAGAGTTGCTTGTGTGTAGTCCAAAAGGAAAGAAATGAGTTGAGAATAATTTGAGCAGCTACTAGGATTTACATATATTCTAATTATAACATCCTTCACTGCCAATTCCGTACAGGACTTGATATTGATTGTGTGGCGTTAGATAACAACTGTGAGAACTAAGAAAGCATCATCTACTTCAGTGGTCATTTGACCAGTGACTCAAATATATATGCCTGTATATGGTAGAATAAAACTACGTTAACATCAGGACAAAAGGGGGTGATGAAAAACTGCTTTAAAAGTGGAAAGGAATGTAATAGTTGGACAAGAACTGGACCTTGCTTTTTCCATGAGCCTTTGGGGACCAGGCAAGATCAACACATTGTAGGTCCAAGATCCAGAACTTCATGAGAAAGTTTTTAAGGCTGAAACTGTTCCAGGTATAGACAGGACTGCTGAGAAAGTGGGACCACTTTCAGGAACTAAAAGTTACCAGAATTCAGTACTTTATGCCCTTCTTTTGTGGCTTTCAGAGCCTTTCTCGGAATAAGCATGGCTAAGACAAGCTTAGAGCAAATAAGATACCACTAGACACTTGGCATAACCTTAGCATCCCTGGAACCAAGGTGAGCATCTAAATTAAGAAATATCTTAAAATTAGGCATTTTCTGTAAATAGATTATACACAAGAACAGATAGCAGATCAAACTTTCCAGAAATGTTTATTTATCTGTTTCCCTGTAAAAGGATACCAGAATGACATATTACCAAGGCAATTTCCAGAAAATATAAAAGGATTTCTTTACTGTCATGGGTTTCAAGACATCACTTTGATGTGTCAGCCAAATTTTGCAATATGTTAACAACTGGAATCCTACCAGAAGCTTTAACATGTGAGATGGCTAAAAGAAAACAACATACTGCATCAAGAAGTCATCAAATAATGTTAATGTCTCTCTTGTTCAATAATTATTGAGTGACTGCTTTGGTAGCCCAAAGTGTTGGTGACTTATAAATTGAAGAGGGTGGGAGTGAGGATGAAGAAGCCATTATGATCAAATGTAAGAAACCCTAGAAGTTAAATTTGCATATGCTCTCTAAAAAGGCTCTTTTTCCTTTAAAAGTTTGCCCTTAGGGCCTCAGAAATATATCGTATCACATGCTGAATTAGTTTATGTTTGACAGCTTTTGTACAGATGGGACATTATACAAAATCAATTATGTCCTACATATCTGTGCTTAAGGCTTCAGGTATTCCTGTGTTCACACTGCTGGCGATTTACATTCTTAGCCCACTTACTGATATTGGGAAATTTGATAGGATTTTACATTTGGAAATATGTACATACTTTTAAACTTTTATAAGTACTCTAAAGAATATAATTGCTTCTAAATGGGAAAAGAGTTAAGCAAATAGGTGATATTTACACCCAGATGTGTTCTGCCCTTTAACATTTTATAGTTGAATACAACCACAGCACAACACATTAGTGGAAAGGAAATTATTTCACTTGTGATAAAGTAAAAAAAAAAAAAAAATTATCTAAGTCCTTTCTAAATATCTTTGAAATGAACATATCATCTGTTTTGATCAAATTTTCCTTCTGTTTGAGCACTCACATTTTTCTCTGTAAAATATTTCTGCATTTACATACATTTTACACAGTTAGGTTGATTATTGGTCCAATTCTATCATTCTATGTCTACATTTTTGCTATCTCCTGATAGTAAGCAAAACAAAAAGAAAATGTATTTAGAGAAGCATTCTCAAAGTACATTATTAGTGTCCTGTATACTTTTCCCTTGCTAACTATATAGAACATATGCCTTATAGAAAAGTGCTTTTGTTTAGGAAACAAATGAATTTGTGGGATACCTTTGACATCTATAGTCACCAGAGTATGAATATAAACCAGTCTTATTTTGAGAAATATTCCTTTTCCAGGTATATGGATTTCTTCCCAGTCCCATCTAATGTCACCACAGACTTTCTGTTTGAAAAGAGTGCCAATTACTTCCACTCAGAGGAAGCTCCTAAAAGAGCAGCTTCTCTGGTCCCCAAAGCCAAGATCATAACCATCCTCATCGACCCCTCAGATCGAGCATATTCCTGGTATCAGGTAAGAAAAATACAGACAGAATCTAACAGGTAAGAAGGAGAGTATGAAGAAGGGAGGATGTTTTACAGAAATAGCAACCACCTCAAGTCTCAATAAAAGAGATTTGCTAGTTGTATATCTGCATAAAAGTGGATAGAGTTTTCTTTGTTTCTGGAGAAACGAACTTTCTCCTTAAGTTTTTATTAATTTTGCATTAATTTAATAAAATATATTAATGAAATGAAAATATAACAAAATAGTATGTACATGTATGTATATCTGTGCTTCTACACATCTACATTTCAAAAAAATAGACTGAAAAATAGAGTAAGGGTCCCTTTTGCTTGGAAAATATAAAGTTGAGATAAATGTGAAAACCTGTATTCAAAAACCCCTTACCTGCTATTAGGCTAGTATAGCTTCTAAAAAGAGGTCTACACCAAGACACATAATAATTAAAATGGCAAAAAGTAGTGATAGAGAGAGAATTTTTGAAGCAGCAAGAAAAGAAAATAGTTACATACAAGGGAAACACCATAAGTCAATCAGCTGATTTTTTAGCAGAAACCTTGCAGGCCAGAAGGAAGTTGCATGACACATTCAAAGCACTGAAAGGAATAAAACCTAAAACCAAAAATACTCTACCCAGCAAGTTTATCATTCAGAATAGGAGAGATAGCTTTCTACACAAACAGAAGTTAAAGGAGTTCATCACCATTAATTCAGGCTTACAAGAAATATTAAAGGGAATTCCACTCAAAAGTGGAAAGAAAAGGCCATAATCAAGAGTAAGAAACTTATAAAAGGAAAAAATTCACAGGTAAATGAAAACATACAATTAAGATAGTAGGTTGATCACTCATAAAACCAATATAGAGTTTAAAGCACAAAAGCAGTAAAGTCAATTCTACCTACAAAAATCAGTCAAGGGATTCACAAAATAAAAGGATGTAGAGTGTGATATCATATCCATAAAACATGATGGGGGAATAAAAATTTAGTGTTTTTAAAATGGGCTCAAACTTAAGCAACCATCAACCTAATATAGACTGCTATACACATAAGATGTTACATATGAACCTAATGGTAACCATAAATCAAAAACCTGTAACAGATATGCAAAAAAAATAAAGAGAAAGGAATCTAAGCATTACAAGAGAGAAAGCTATCAAACCACAAAGAAAGACAGCAAGAGATGAAAGGAACAGAGAAGAATTACAAAAACAATCACAAAACAAGTAATAAAATGGCAATAAGTACACACCTACCGATAATTACTTTAGATGTAAATGGACGAAGTGCTCTAATCAATAGATAAATGGATAAAAAAGCAAGACCTATCTATATGCTGCCTGCAAGAGTGTCACTTCAGACCTAAAGACACATACAGATCGAAAATGAAGGGATGAAAAGCATTTAACATGCAAAAAGCAAAAAGAAAGCTGGGGTAGCAATGCTTCTTATATCAGACAAGATAAACTTTAAAACAAGAGACAAAGAGACAAAAAGAGACAAAGAAGGATACCGCATAATGACAAAGGTAATAACCAAAAGCAAAACAACAAAACCAAAAACTCCTTGTCTGAATCTCTGTACCTGGGATGGAAATAAGGCTGCCTCTTTGTATTAAAGTGAGTGCACACAGCTCTGATCTTCCAGACAAGTGTAGTCTATTCCATTCCCACTGATAGGATTTCAAAAAGATAATTCATGACAATCTAGGATATTAGACAATAACGTTTCTCAGCACAGGTCCTTTTGTTATTTAACAAAAGTAGTTTTTCCAGATTGGAAAAGGAAGAACAGATTGTCAGGAAAGGTTTTGTGCCTGGGACAGGGTGGGAAAAGGTCATGATAAAACAGATGGGATCTTAGATAGGCATGTTGGTAATAATCTGCATAATAGGAAGTGAGACAGCCTGGAAAGCTGAAATCCACAACTCCACACTAAGCATTGATGCCAAACTCCTACAGCCATCTTTTAAATCACAGTATATAGCAAATTGCAAAATGACTGATTAGATTCTGTGTCTTTTACCTTTTCTACCAGGTATCTAGAGAAAAAGAGAAATAAGCCTTAATTGACTCAAAGAGAAAAGAAAATTGGAACTTGGCAACCGCTTAGCCCCTGAAAAATTGAGAATTTACCATAAAGGGAGATTTCAAGTCTGTAAGCTAACAAAATGTCCTAAATATTACAAATAAATCACTCTATAGTAGCAAAATGCAGGCTTTAACAAAGTCTAGTAGTGGTTGTACTATAGTAATTTGAATCTCAATTGCAGCAAATTTGCTATTCAACTAGATGTGGTAAACATCCACAAACCTACCACTAAGCCTGAATATTTATTGGTCAATTTAGGGAAAAGGTGATTTCCTCAAACCCATGGGCCTCAGCCTGAGCCATTATGAAACACTTTCCTATTTGGATTGCTGCTTTCTGCATTTCTGTACAATAAATGATTCCGATTCATCACAAAGGAAGGTTACCATTAGGTAAAATAATCTTGGCTTTTAGATGCTAGGTGGTATGTGATAAAAGCTGTGGATTTCAGATAGTGTACATGTCAGAGTTTTCAGTAGTCTCTCCATTTAAAATAGCCAGTAGGGTTTTCCTAATCTAAAACTGCATTACTAGATGGAGCAAAACTATATGGCAGAACTAGCAGAGTGCTTGTGTGTTACGGATATTCAATGGACATAACAAATGGTTTGTTTATGGGCTGCAAAGGGGGCATTAATGCAACTTTGAAAAGTTTACTTTCTGAATAGATACCTACACTAACGGAAAAAACTCAGTAAGTTTGGTTAACGAGGCCTATCAATAAGAATTCAGCCTCTTCCAAACAAGTTCTCAAAAAAGATATCTTCATCAGTATCATAACTTTAAATCCTGAGGCTCCAAGCAAACATTTTCATCCTTTATTAATTGCGAAACAAATAACTCTCCAGCAGTGAGTTGCTCCTTCCTTTAGCTTCGAGACTTGTCACAGAGATTGGTTTTTAATTATTCATGCCTGTGGTTCAAGTTAAATTATCCACCTTTTCATCATAGCATCAGCGATCACATGAAGACCCTGCAGCTCTGAAGTTTAGCTTCTACGAAGTGATCTCAGCTGGGCCCCGTGCACCCTCCGAGCTTAGAGCCTTGCAGAAGAGATGTTTGGTCCCAGGGTGGTATGCCAGCCACATCGAGAGATGGCTTGTTTATTTCCCTCCCTTTCAGGTACTGAGCAATAAGAATTCACATCATGTTACAATCTCATTAAGTTGATGACTTTGCCTCTAGGATAGAGGAAATTTTTACTCATTAAAACATTACTAGCTTTTACTCTGTAGTTGTAAATAAGACTGTGGCAAAGAATACTAGTTAGGCAGAGGTAGACAAACTGCTTAATTTTCTTTCTAAAAGTATTTCAGAATAATTCTCCCTGCTGTATTTTCTAGCACATGCCCATCCTGATTGTAAAGAGCTTCAAAAGCTTCATATCCCTAATTCTTAGTCTGCCTGTAAAGCTTAAGAACCTCTTAACCAAATAAGGCAAATATTGTTTTGCTTAATTAAGTGCCATTATTTCCCTTTGAACCACCTTGCTGAATTTTTCATGACCCCTGTGTTTTTCTTGCCTTCCTTGCTTCTCTCTTTTGCCAGGCACCAACCTAGATTACAAACTGAGCCCCAATATTGGATTGCATAAAGCAGTCGAGTCACTCAGGCGTGGTGCATGCCTATGTGTCTACATATGCTGTCCAGCATGACAGCTGCTGCCACATCTGGCTATTTAAATTTGTATTAAAATTACATGAAATTAAGAAGTCAGTTTCTCAGTCACATTAGTCACGTCTTAAATGCTCAGTAGCTACCTGTTAGACTCCACAACTATAGAAGATGCCCATAGTCACAAAACATCCTAGTGAACAATGTCAGTCTAGACTAAACAGAAATACTGAAGAAGAGGGATGAGCAAAATGGAAGAACAGAGTGTGGTCACTTTGTGGTCCTCCGTCATGGTCTCCTGGCATTTTATCTTTCTAGCCACCTGTCTCCTTCCTTAGAGTAACAAGCAAATTCTTCCCCTTAGTCAACTGAGGAACTGCTATCCACATTCAGGTTCTCTGGGAGGCTTGCCTTTTTCTCCAAATGGGTTATCTAATCATTTCTTAAAACTTTACAGTGCCACTCCTTTGAATGGACTCATGGAAAATGACATGTCCTCTGCCTCATTACACCTAGTCTTATTCCAACTTTTCTTCTTTTCTACAGTGCTCCTTCCCAGCTTGAGTGATGGAAACACTGTTTGCTTGGTTTCTACTTGTGATTGTGTAGCCACATTTCTTAAGCTCTTTTGGTTCCCTCAAAAAAACAATTTTTTTGTTTTCATAGTATTTTCAGGACTTCTCAAATTACAAAAACATGAGTGAATTTATTAGTGTGATTTATTTCTTATTCCAGGTCATTAATGAAAGGGCCTGGTTAAGGACACAACAACGTGTGCAAATCCCCTCAGTAGAATTTCTCTCATTGAATAAATTCAAGAGTTCTTTATTTTTTTTTATTATACAGTTAAACATCTTTTTTCAATGTGCATTGTCTTTTTTTTCCCCTTCTGTAATTTAGTTGCTAATTATCGATGGGCAACAGCTAAGGATGGATCCTGCTACAGTGATGGATGAAGTACAGAAATTTCTAGGAGTCTCTCCTCATTATAATTACTCTGAAACATTAACGTAAGTTTATATTCTAATTAACTTATTGAAATTTCAGGAGAGAATTGGTTTTTTAAAAATTGTAGTTTGGTGATGCAGCTATTGTCTTAACTGTTCCTAACATACTATTTTCTGATTAGTTTGACATCAACTACTTGGAAACAAACTTCAACAGTGTAGCAAAGAAATGTCCTAAATCCTATGTTGATTTCTAACTATGAAAGATTTCCCCTAGAAGGAAAGTAGGGAAGCAAAATAATTGTAAATCTTAAAGCCAACAATTAACCACAAAAGAGGCTACTTAAGTCAGTAAGTCCTGAGCCTGTTCAACAGACAATAGTGGGAACTCGGTGGAAGCATAAAGAGGTGATTAACTAGATGGTTTATGAACTCTCTCCACTGGCTTTTGTGCAATTTTCAAAACCAAAGTCAAGCAACAAGAAATCACCCAATAGGCGACTGAATTGGCAGAGGGAGATGTGCTCTTTAATTGCTTTGGTTTTTTTTTTTTTTTTTAAGATTTTTATTTATTTATTTGACAGACCACAAGTAGGCAGAGAGGCAGGCAGAGAGAGAGAGGAGGAAGCAGGCTCCCCACTGAGCAGAGAGCCTGATGCGGGGCTCGATTCCAGGATGCTGGAATCATGACCTGAGCCGAAGGCAGAGGCTTTAACCCACTGAGCCACCCAGGTGCCCCAGGAGATGTGCTCTTACACATACTTCCGCTTTTTGCTTCTATGTTTTTACTCACTGTTCATCTGACCCCGTCAGCTCTTCTTCAGGGGCCAAAGCAATTACAGCTCTGGTTTGGTTTTCTTTTCCTCTTTTTTTCTGATTTTCTTAGGTAACTGACTCCATCTGGGCCAGGATAGGATAACACAAGAGAAGCATTAGGATTTAAGGAGGCACTCACTCTCAGCTCCACGCAAATGCCTGAGCGTGGGTGCCTCCTGAATCTTTGCACCTCACGTCCCTCTCTTACCTTACCTTAATCCTGACTTTGGACTCCATTTAGCGTTTTAAATAAGACCTCCATCTTACTTTCTCCACTATTATGGTCAGCAATCAAATTTCTGAGGGTTGTTTTTGTTCCTATTTCACACCCCTAGAGCAAGTGGAAGATACTGAGTTGGATGGGCCATGGACCTGACCCCGACTATAACACTCTCTTTTTTAATTTTAGGGTCATAGACTGAACCTTAAAGAAACTGAAAAGGACTGTTATGGACTTCTTCCATTGTATTTCTCATTATAAAACTCACTTCTATAGATCAACTGATTTTTCTCTTTTCATTGTGTGCTTCATCATCTAGCAAGTTAGAAGCTGTGAGAGGCAGGAGGATTCCTTTACCCTTCAGCATCCCTTACAACAAAGATTGGCAGGAAAACATCAAATACTGCTTATGTCTTGAACAAATCATATATAGAGACATATGTAAGAAAGACATTTTGGTGTGGAGGACAAAGGAACTTGGGTTTTGAGCTTCCTTCCCAAGAGCCATTTACTTTGTTATTACTATTAACCTTCTGACTTCTGTGTTTTTATACTACGAGTACTATTAGAGCTTTGTAGAGCTTAGTTCAAGTACTAACACAGACTCTACTCGCCTTAGGTATTTAACTTTCAGCTTGACCTTAAAGAAACCTGAGTGATTGTAGTTTGCAGTTAGAAATTCAAGTCCCCTTTGCTTTATATCTTTTTTAACTATCTCAGAAAAGAACGCTTTTATTTTCTAAACAGTTTTCTATTTCAAGTTGGTTTATCTTTGGGTCTCTTTTATAGAGCATATAGCAAAGCACTGTATTTCAGAAAAAAGAAGTGAAGTGTCCTATAAAGACATAATCTCCTTTTTTTATAGAATGGTCCTTGACCTGCATGCTGTGTTATTTGTCCCTTTTGTGTCCAGCTCAGTGGCAAGCTTTTTATTCACCTCCACTGCTGAGAAAAGGGAGTGTAAACTTAAGAGAAGTAGTATCAAAGGAAAGTACTTTATACAAAGAACTGTGGATCACTTTGCACCCGGGTTATATCTGGCTGAAATTGCCTGTTATATGCTGCTCTAGCCTGGTATGGGGCTCAGTGGGTAAAGCAGCAAGATAAGATATGTGTAGTCTCTGAAACCACAGCTTCTCGCCCTACAGGGCTGCCCAAGCTCTCACCCTGCTGATAGAGATAATGTATAGCCATTCAGTTTCTTTTTAGATTTTCTTGTCAATCATCAGTTAGCCTTAGACACATCAGCCCTGGAGCTGTTGTAGAATATTTGGATTTGCAGGTCATTGTCTTAGGTCTGAACTGATGGATATCCTCCTTCACCAAGCCCTTTGCAGTTCCAAATCCTGCCCTGATCATTTAGTTACTCTTGTTAAAGTAACTATACTGATAAGTTTTTTCTCATCAAGGATGAGCGGGAGTCAAACAAAATGTATGTTCTCAGGAATGTAATTTATTGCTTCATATTTTTTCTGCTAGTGGTAGTGAAGACTATCTCTTTAGTACTTAAAAAGAAATAATTAAAATCCTCTAAGAATGTACTGAACTGCAAACAGAGATATGAATTCTCAACTAACCACATAAATCCAGGGTTTTTTTTTCCACACAGAAGAATAAATGAATGAAACTAGGTCTACACAAAGATTTTACTATACAGTCTTGGCATGAAAAAGTACTCCAATTTAAGCACTCTATAAACTGATTCTCTTCAATATAAAAACAGTTCCAATTTCAAAACTATTTTCAAGAAAAATGGCAGTAAGTTTCTATTGTAAGAGTATTCTTTATTCCTTTCTGCAATTGCTAAAAAAAAGTATTCACGACTTCCAAATTTCATGCAGTCATTGGATAGTCTATGATGTCTTAACATGAATTAGTACTGGCATAATGAATTTTAAATGATATTGAATATGTAAAAAAAATCTGATTTTCTTGGTCAGAATGGCTGTGATTTAAATAAGCAGAAAAGTTGTAAACAATATAAAAGTTTTAACAATATAAATGATTAATATAAATCAATTAAGGGAATGAGTATTTTACAATTCTTATTCAATATAACCTGCATGCTTAAAGTGTAAATAGGATTGATATACTCAAACTATTTTAGCTTTCATGTTATATGTTACATAGTGTTTTAGGCTGACTGAACATTTGAGAGAAACCAGCAAAAATCATGTTTAGCGTGTAATTGTGCTAATTTGTATAAACTAATTTATGAAAAATATAAACTTTTTATTTTTCCATGAACTATGAACTCACAATTATACAAAGCCATCAATGACCATGACAAGAGGTTTCATATGTGGAAATACTGGTTAAACACCTGAACCTGACATCTTTATTTCTCAGTCAGTTAACCTGTTTGTTAACACAGATGAAACTGGATTGAATTATATGAACTTTTAATACAAATTTCCTGTGAAACTTCAATAAATGAACAGTAAGAATTTGAAGGCCAGGGGCTGGATAAAGATCATGGGTTTGTTTTGTTTTGTTCTGTGGGTAGGGCTTAACTAAGTCATAAAGAATCAAAGCTGCTTCAGAATTCAAGAAGGTCTTCAATTGTGTCTCATCCCACTTCCCCTAGCAACCAAATTTATATTGCCGAGGAAGTCTTTCCTATCCCATTCTGGATGAGTTTGAGTAAAAAGGTGCCACATTAAAAAACTTTTTTCAGTAGCAAAAAGAAAATTAAAAAAAAAAAAAAAAAGTAGCCATAGTAGCTAAAATCTGTTGGTTCCCTGGACGACCCATGAAAGAAGCACCTAGCAATGGTAAGTAGTGAAAAAGATAGTGTGCCCTAATTTCTTAAGATCAATTTGTTTTAAAAGTGGTTATAACATTTGAAAATCAATATGCATGTATATATTCTACATTTCTATGTTTACATATATCTCTTCCTACCAACAGTAGATGTGATAGGTACTATTAGCTCCATTTCTCAGCTAAAAAAAAAAACAAAAACAAAAATGAAAACGGGCACAGAAAAACTAAGCCAAAAGTCACTCAGCAAATAAATTGAGGAGTCAGGACTAAAACTCAATCAGCCCACTGGACTGTGCTGCCAATCTATTAAGCTCTTTAAGTTGGCACAAGATGTCAGAACCAGAGAAAAACAATACTGTAAACTGTGACTAATGAATAGTATACCAACAGGAAGTATTTTCTTTAAAAGACTGAAACTTTAAAATGAGCTTTTTAAGTTGTCTCAGGCTTTCTTACAAAAAGAATCCATCTTCAGACACACGATCACTTGGCATCATAAATGTGAGATCATGGTGATATGCAAATTAAAATCACACTGAAATACAACTAGAATGTCTATAATCCAAAAGACAATGCCAAATGTTGGCCAAAATGTGGAGAAACTGGAACCCTCATATGTTGCAGATGACAATGTATAATATATGGCCACTATGGAAAAGCAATTTTGCATTCTCTTAAAAATTAAACAGAGGCTTACAAATAATGCCACTCCCAAGAGAAATAAAAACCTGTGTCCAACAAATACTTGTTCAAAGAAGCATTATTAATAATAGCCAGAAACTGATAACCACATGGTGGGAACCACACGTGATTCCTACTTTGTTGGACTCTACATCATAAATTTAAATTAACAGTTTATCATCCCATTGTCTGCCCTGTGATTTTTTTTTAAGGATCATGCTTAGTCAGTATTCTCCAGCATTGTGATTGTATGCTATTGATACTGCTTTTAGAATGCTCTTATGAAGTGAGGAAATCTGTGTGTTTGAAATGACAAAAAAAAAAAAATTATAAATAAGTAAATGAATGAATGAATGCCAAAAACTGGAACTGACCCAAATGTCCATCACCTGGTAAATGGATTAACAAAATCTGGCATATCCACCCCAGCCAAAAAAAAAAAAAAAAAGGTGTCCAGAAAAGAGAAAGACTCAAAGCAGATCAGTGCTAGCCTGGGCCTGGAGGTAACAGCAGGGATTGCTTCCAGTGGGCTCTAATTTGGGGGGATTATGGAAATGTTCTAATACTGGATTGTGGTGATAGTTATACAACTATATAAACTTGCTACAAATCATCTAATTGTATACTAAAGATGGGTGTTCTAAGTAAATTATACCTCAAAAAAACTCTTACAAATAAAACAGGTATCAGCAAAGTGGTTCATTAAATCATAAAAGCGTATTTGTGGAGAGGGAACTGATTTAAAAAACAAAAACAAACAAAAACTAACTTCTGTGTTTGTTCCATATTAGTGACACCTGAATGAGTGTTTTGATTCTGAAATTTACCAGCACTATTTGCAACTCACTATTCTCCCATGGAAATGTTATTTCAATCTAAAGGTATTTTAAACATACTTGAACTTCTAAGTATAATCTGAATATTCCCTAGGATTCACCTGCCCAAATGTTACCAGTTGGAGGCTGAATCATTGGAGAATTTCAATTGTCCCTGCCTACAAGTCTCTTCCAGTTATTTCTAGACATCTCCAGGTGATATTCTATAGAAATTTAAGAACCAATCCATTCTCTTTTTTTTTTTAAGATTTTATTTATTTATTTGAGAGAGAGCATGCACAGTGGGGGGAGGGGGGCAGAGAGAAAGGGAGAAGCACTCTGCTTGCTGAGCAGGGAGCCAAATGCAGGGCTCCATGCCAGGGCTCCATGCCAGGACTCCAGGATCATGACCTGAGCCGAAGGCAGATGCTCAACAGACTGAGCCATCCAAGTTCCCCCGCCTTTTTAAGGTTTTATTTATTTGACTGAGAGAAGAACCAATTCATTCTTGTTTTAGTCTAATTCAACAAGATTCTATTGGATGACTATTATGTGCAAGACTCTGGATACAAAGATAAAGGATCTCATATGATAAAGTAAACAACACAAAAAATTTCCCCCAAAAGGTTCACTTCCTGAAGTCCTCTAAAAGAGGTCCTAGCCATGACTACTGAATGCCTACCCAAAGAAAGGTTTCTTACTGTCCCACCAGATACCAGTGGTACCAAGGGTAATCTTAAGAGAAACGCTGGTAATATTCTAAACAGATACGGGGAGATCTTTCTCTATTTCACGTCAAGCTTCTTCACCTGAACTCTGAAATTGCATTGCTGATCTCTTCCAACTCACAATGTCAACATCAATCCCTTCACCTCTAGCTCAAGTCACCTGGAAAATAAACATGATCACCCTTCTGCCTTCCTCTTCTTTTCTACTCCAACACACTTAGGCCATTGTCTGTGAGCTTATGCCTACAGATGCCTGGGCTACATGCCAGCCACACATACACATACATACTTTTTCTCAATAAAGCCCACATGACAGCCTGCTGCATGACATGTAACCAATGAACAGGGATGAAAGAAAAACCCATTTTTATTCTGATTCTCAATTATATTATGTGTGAAGTTCAGTGTCTCTTAAGAAAACATCATTCTGTCAGAAGGCGGCTCATTTTAACATAAGGCCTATGTATGTTCCAGAGATGGATGATGTATAGTTAGAATATTACCAAAAAAAATAATAGTTGGTCTGGATTCTAAATTTTGATCACTTAAATACATAAAACGAGCCAGAATTCAATTGTAGAAGTTGCTAAGGACAAAATGTTTATGAAAAATACTACATCGATAGCACACTTCCAGACTTCCATTGTGTCATATTAGAGCTTTCCAGATTTCATGTACAGATTATTTAAATAATGGTCTTTTAAATGCTTTTTTTTCTTGTACCTCTGAGTGTGGAACTACTTTATTCAGTTGCCTTACTGATTCAAACAAGAATATAAATAACGTGAAGACATAGCATGTTGTGTCGTGATCTCATACAGTTGTGTCAGTAATCATGAGAATTAGGCTTTGCCTAAGTGGGATGTGGATAATCCTTTAGTGTCTCTAATATCCAAACCAGTACAGAGGCAGAAATCTAGGTGTGCATTCTTTTCATACAGCTATGTTATAAGCTCCACGAGATTAGCTACATAAAGACTACCTTCCAAATCCATACATATACACATATATTCAATCACAGTGTAATTTTAAATCCGCTCTATTGAAATAAAATTCATATATAATAAAAATCTACCAATTTTAACTGTACAGACTGATGAATTTTGACAAATGGTTACAGTTGTATATACCACCACAATCAAGACACAGAACATTTCCATTTACCCAAAAAGTTTCTTCATGCTCCTTTGCAATCAATCCTTCCCCCCTCACTCCCGATCCCCAGCAACCACTCATCTACTTTCTTTCATTTAGCATAGTGCTTTCAAATTGTTATAGCTTGTTAGGTCCTTTCCATTCCTATACGCATTTTAGAATCATCCTTACAATTCCTACAAATTCCACTGGGGTTTTGATTGGAATCACACTGAATCTATAGATAAATTTGGAGAGAGCTGATACTTTAAAAATACTTATTGTTTTGATCTGTGAACATGGTTTAGCCCTCTTTCTTATGTCTTCTACAGTTTCTCTTAACAATGTTTTATAGTTTTCAGTGTCAGATCTTGCAAATATTTTGTTAAATTTTTTCCTAGGTATTTCACATTTTTAGGCTAACTTAAATGTGTTATTTCAGTTGCCAATTGTTCACTGCTCACACTACAATTTTAAGAAAAAGTCAGAAACAGTATTTTTAGTAATGTGGATTTTAAAACAAAATGAAAAAGTAACCTCAAGTGATAATTTTTTCTAATGAAGAAGAAAGTAAGGCAATAGAATTATCAAATTACAAAAGCAATGTGAAAGAATTATCATTGCTGACTCTTACTTTTGTTTTTATATTCAAGCATGGAAATTACTATTTATTCATAATGAATAATAATATAAAACATAACCAGAGACCAGTGAAAAAGAAAAGACACTGGACTTAGAGTAAGGAGGCCTAGATTTAAGTCATGACCCAGGTATGGAAAAAATATATAGTCCAAGAGAAATAAACCTTGACAAACATTTCCTTCTTTTTCAGTTTTTTATTCAGCTAACATTTAGTGAACATTGATGAAGAGCCAAAAACACGTTGTTAAGTGCCATAAAATGGGAAGAATCCTGTACTCCATATCATTAAGGGATTTTAATGAAAACTCAAAAGGAAAAAGAATTACATAAAATATTTTGGTAAACTGGGACACCTGGGTGGCTCAGTCAGTTGAGCGTCCAACTCTTGGCTTTGGCTCAGGTCATGATCTCATGGTCATGAGATAGGGCCCACATTCAGCTCCATGCTCAGCACTGAGTCTGCTTGAGATTCTCTCCCACTGACCCTCCCCCTGCTTAGTCTGGCTCTCTCTCTCAAATAAATAAATAACATCTTAAAAAAATACATGTTTTGGCAAACTAAAATATATTTTAGTATGTTAACTAACTGGAATTAAAATTAAAATGTAAGAAAATATTAAATAATAAACAAATAAAACCATGTGAAAGATTAAAAATAAATAAAATATAAATGTAATGTGCTACTATTATTTTGATTATAGTTATGTCATGAAAATCCACATTTATAGGTACTGTGACTTTAATACAGAGCTCATACCAAAATAAGAAAGGGGCTATGGAAAAAAATTAAGTGGATGACAGCTGAAGAATCCTAAAATTAATCACTCCATGGCACACCAAACACTTTCTCTTCTATTATTCCGTAATTGTATGGTATAAATACTACCTAAGTCCATAGATATGGATGAAACCTGACTTGTCATTTTTAAACCCTACAAAGGAAAAGAACAGACTTGAAATTCATAAAACTTTTTCCTTCCAGATGAAGGAGGTAGGCTTATTAATTTCTATTAATAGAAGACCTTCTGCTGACAATTTTTCTATTAGGAATCTGGCAAACTTACAAATACGACAGATGGACTAAGAATTCAGAAGTATGCCAAAAGAATTTATGCAAAGTGACTTAGTCAAAAAATATGCCAGTTTCTCTGGTTATAGATTAAGATCCAAAAATATATTCATGGTTTTGGTCATTATTACTTACAAATTGCTTGAAAAATACTTTTTTGTGTTTTGTGTTTTTAATTTTTTTTAGGTTTGATTCTCATAAAGGTTTCTGGTGTCAATTATTGGAAGAAGGTAAAACAAAATGCCTGGGAAAGAGCAAAGGAAGAAAATACCCTCCAATGGATCCTGATGTAAGTATAAAGCTTATAAATACAAACTAAATAAGCAAATTAATAAATAATATGTATTTTCTTATAAAAGTGGTTAAAATAAAAATTTAGCCCTTCTAAAAATTACAAGTGACATGTGGATTTCAGTGTATCCAGGTTGTTTATTTGGATTTTTCCAATGATACACGTCAAGCAGGAATAAAGGAAAACAACAGAATTTTCTATTTTGAAGCAGAACATAGAAGGCAATGTCTGATTACAAAAAGAATGATACATTCATAGAAATTTTAGCACTAAAAATGTTAATTTAAACCAAGACAGGAAATACATCAACTGGAAATTGAAAACAGGACCAAAAGATTTCTATTTTTCCCCCCATTAAGTCATGCTATAGTAGTAAATGTGGTCTGCATAATACTATTTCTTTGACAGTTTTCTTTGGATGATTATTAAAATTTACTTTTGAGCACTATAAAAATAATCCTTACACATTAATAGAAATTCAAGGGCAATTTCCATGGTATTTCAAGAAAGTAATATAAAATACATTATTTTCATTTATGTCCAGGCTATTTCTCTATTTATTAAACTAAAATGTTTAAAAGACATTGTAGAACATCTTTCTTAGCATTTGATTTTACTCCTATCAAACACAGACATAATGAGACATAATATTAGATTTTGTGGTAGAGAAAGATAAGAAAAACAAATTTTAAAATATCAGTACTTCCATATTGATACTCCAGAAATGTTACTGTGTAATACATTCCAAGGGTTTATTAACTCACACTTCTGACACCAAATGTGCATTTCATACCAACCAAGCATGCAGAGTTCTACAGATACCAACTAAGTGCCCTATAGTTTAACTCAATTGTGACACTAACCAGTATAGACTCCACAGGTAAAGGGCTTACTACCACAGGCCTGCTCTCCCTTCAGACTCTAATAGCAAGTAACAGGTTCCTAGGTTACTTACTTCTGTCCAAAGTGGCTATAAATCAAGGGATCTCATGACCCCTTCCTCAGGTTTTAAAATTTGCTATAACAGTTCAGAGAACCCAGGGAAACACTTTATTTTCTATTATTATAAAATATAAAAAATGAATAACCAGAGTGAGAGGCACATAGAACAAGGTCCAGAAGGGTGCTAAAGCACAGGAGCTTCTGTCTCTGTAGAGTTTGTGGTGTGCCACCCTCCCAGCACATGGATGCATTTACAAACCCTGACATTCTCCAGAATCTTCATTTCAGGTTTTTATGGGGGTCCCATTAACGTAGGCATGATTGATTAAATCACCTGCCATTAGTCATTACCTCAATCCCCAGTCCCTCTTCCCATCTTTGGAGGTCAAAGGGTAGGGCTGAGAGTTCCCAACCTCTAATATTATGTTTGGTTCCTCTAGCAACTACCACCCCACCCCCTCCATCTGACACTATCTGTGGTCCCAGCAAGAGTCACCTCATTAGCATAAACTTGGGTATGGTTTAAAAGGGCTTATTATGAATAACAAAACACACTCCTTTCACCCCTATCACTGAGGAAAAAAATGGTTTTAGAAGCTCTGTGCCAGGAACCTGAGATGAAAACCAATTATATATATTTCTTATGTCACAATATCAAGTATATACTGGATTTATTTGAAGGCATAGAGTGGTTGATTTTATACAAATAGAGACCAGAGAGAAGGCAAGAGTAAAGGAGGCTTCTTAAAGACAACAGAAACACGAATGTGAGAATGTTTGAGAGGAGGCAGTATTATCACATTGCTTGCTTCTCCCCCTATTACAGAAAAATGCCAGCACCCAACTCACCAAAACATCATAGAATGCATTTAATCCAGGTAAACTAAGAAAGTTGTTGGCCTACTCCTACTTTTACTTTGTTTATGAAAATAACAGTGTAGAAGAATAAAAACTGACATTCTAAATTAATACCACTAAATCTAAGGGCACCTGGGTGGCTCAGTGGGTTAAAACCTCTGCCTTTGGCTTAGGTCATGATCTCAGGGTCCTGGGATCAAGGCCTGCCTCGGGCTCTCTGCTCAGCAGGGAATCTGCTTCTCCCTCTCTCTCTGCCTGACTCTCTGCCTACTTGTGATCTCTCTCTCTGTCAAATAAATAAATAAAAATCTTAAAAAAAAAATCACTAAATCTAATATCTCTCCAAATCAAAAGTCTGTAATAGATTCTTTAATTTAATAATGGGCCAATAAATAACCTGATATTGAAGGTGTTATATGATTCCTTCTTTTTATACTTTTATATTATAAATGTATATATTATCTCCTCTTATTACATTATTTTACATGAGTTTGTATGAAGTAGTCAGATTACAGCATATATCCTATCTGTGGCTTTATCTAAAATATCCCCCCTTCTGAATGACTGTGAGATAACAATTTATGTTCAATAAATTTTGCATACCACAAAGTTGTATCCTAGTAACTTTTGGCCTAAACATACTAGACTCCAAAATAGAACATATCATACATTGCAAATCTCATTTCATTTGTCTTGCCATAATGAGGGAGTGAAGCAAGAGGAAAGGGTACTTGAGTAAGTGGACATGATTATGGTGACATGCATACACACAATAGGACACAGGACAAAGTTTATCTGCAATGGCACATTGACACAGGCAGAGAGGTCTGAAAATGATGCCCAAAAGGTAGAGGTAAGGTTGAGACAATCCTCAGTATCAGAGGTTCAATTCAAATACCAAAGGGATGGACAGTAGAAATAGATCCCAGGAGGTTCAGTCCTAGACCCAGATAAGATGTTGTGCAATCACTTACCATATGAAACTATTGGGGTGCAAGCTGGCAAGAGAGAAAAAAATGGGGAAGTACAGAAACTCAGAGACAAAGATGTAAGGTTCTTCCCTAGATTCCAGGTCTGGCTGGCAGCAAAGGAGGCACAGAATGATCAGGCTCCCAGATATAGGATCTGGGAAATAAAATTTATCTGTACTGTTTTCTTTTGTCTGAGTGTGCCAGCTCAGCCTGACAGTGGTTTTAGAGCTAATGACTGAGGAAGACCCAAAACAGAAATGAGACAGACAGGCAGAAATCACACAGTGGTTTGGGTTCTCCCTTGATCCCGGTAATGGTTAGAATAAAGCACAACTATTCTATTTAATTCCAGTGATCATGATTCCTACAAAAATCACTGTTACATCAATCAATACCAAATGAGACTTTCTTCTATGGCATTTAAAATCGAGTACCAGATATGACATTTTGAAAGAACAACACAAGGAATTAAATAACAAAAATGTTTAAAGGTTCAACTCTGCTGAAAATCTCAGAGTAGTACAAAGCCTGGAGGTACAGATACAGATGCAGAAATCCTCCCTTTACAACATTCCTAACAATGGTCATCCAACCAATATATGAATGCCACTAAATGCCATCTCACAGCACAGCCCTTTCCAGTTTTGACAAATTCAATTATTAAAATCTTTTCTTTAGTGAAGAGAAATCTACCTCCCTCCAAGTCAAGATAGTTTACAAGGCATTCTTTCCTTCCTTGGGTCAAATCATACAAATATAGCAAGCTAGAGGTTAACCTGGTTTACCTACTGCATTTTCAAGCCTACACACAATACTGTTTTTAGCAGTATGCCTTTGTACACCTTAAAATTCTTGTAAGAAAGTATTACGTACCTTCTATATCTAAATGTAAATTAATGATGACCAAGGAGTATTTGATATTGTACATGTACCAAACTAACATTCTCCAAAACAGGAGTGATTTGAATAAGAGCATCATATTAGACCCAACCAGTTGTCACAGCTACTTTTCTAGCAACTCGATCAAGTTACTGTAACATTTAATTCTGCACAATCAAGTAAATCCCATGCTTAATACAAAATCTCTTTCCCTGCTGAAACAGTGTATGTACCTAGAGCATCTATTTTGAAGAAGAGAGTCTCTGGGTTTGTGTTGTGCTAAATAAATAGCCCACATGCTTAATATAAATCTCAACCCAGGTATGGTATAACTGACGCAGATTTAAACGTCATCACAGTAGATGAAATATACTTTAATCCTCAAAGTGAAATGTCCTCTTGTATCCCACCTCAGAGCAGAGCGTTTCTGTCAAGCTACTACCGAGATCACAACGTGGAACTGTCCAAACTGCTACACAGACTGGGGCAGCCTCTGCCATCCTGGCTGAGACAGGAGCTGCAGAAAGTGAGATAGCACTGGAGACAACATCTCGAGAATCCATCTGCCATGTAACATTCACCTTTCACAAAGCTTCCAGAAGCTACCAAAAGGCTGTTTAAAAATATACCTCTTCAAATAAGAAAAAAAGAACAAAGTTCCTTCCATGTGCTGGCATGTGGATGACTAGGGGGAAAAAAAAAACAAAAAACAAAAAACAAAAAACAAAGAAAAAAAGAAAACATACCTGTTACAAGCCTTGAGGCCTACGGCCTTTCTCTTAATCCATATCTGAGCCTGTGGGATTATTGTAGACTACTGTGCACTCATGTGGAAGTCAACTGCAACCAATATAGGTGTCAGACGCAAATGCAGAATTGTTCCATTTCATAGTAATATTTACACTTTTATATATCAACTAAAATTGTGTCTCTGTAGATTTTTAGATCACTGTTTGCCTGTAAAATGTTTTCTTATTCTTTGATCCTATAAAGTGTCCTACAAAACAAGAAGCAAAATAAACATCATAATGTAGCATAAAATGCCAAAGGCATAATACCCATGAAGAATGCTTGCCAAGATATAAATCCACTGGATACTTAGAAAGAATTGTAAATTATAATTTGTTGCTAGATCAGAGAGTGGAAAAGTTCTATACGAGGTTTATCTGTATCAAAATAAAAAGGTAAGTGCTATAGCAAAAAAAAAAACAACCTGATTTTTCATACACATACTCTAGTGCATTTATGTAAAAATTACTAACTCCTCTGCTGTGATGTAATTGTTATACTGAGATATGTTGTAAAGCCATTGAAACGTATATGGAAACATGCTGAATATACTAAAACAGTAAATAGTAATGTAAATTGTACTCATGAAATCCTCTAAAAGGGAGAAATTGCAGGGGTCTGAAGATATTATCATTGACGATTTGTATTCTCTTTTTGTGAGCTATAAACCTACTCCAATAGTCCTCACTGGTTCTACAGAAACACTTGCATAGAATGTGAGCTATTTGTCATCTCCAGAAACATACTGACTTTTAAAAGTAAAAACTTTTTTTAAAATTTTCTCCAGAACAAGACCTATTAAATGAAAACTAAGCAGTGTCTTTAGATGATGTTATTCATATTTAAAATATAGAAAAATTGCATCTTTCCAGATAGTTCAAAATGAAATTGTATAATGTAGAGATTTATAACAAAAAACCAAATTGATATATGAATTTTAATGTCATATTTCCCATGATACTTTTAATATAAGGCAGAAGAAAATAAGCCAGGGCCATGTCCCCTTTTTTTTAGAATATTTTGTACGTTCTCTCACGAAAGGCAATAAAACATAGTTAAATATAAGGATTATCTACCAAATTAAATGGAGGAAGTACAAAGATGAGCCAGACATGATTCCTTAACTTAAACTTCAATTGATCATATAGTTAATAAAGTATTCAGAAAAGAAAAGAATCATACTTATTGTCCTATGCTTACATTTAATTAATTTTTAAATTCACTGTACATATAAAAAAAATTAAGTAGCAAATTCCCTGCTACGATTACATAAGCTGTTATAAAATGTTATCAAAAGTATGATCAAGGAAAAAAATGATATGCAAGGAAAAGTCATAGCCCAAATATTTTCTTGGTCATTATAATGCGTGAAACTAAACTCTATCAATTATTCACTAATTAGAAAACAAATTCTGAGATCCTTCCACTTATTATAAATTTTTAAATCACATTATAGTTATTAAATATTTTTTAAGGTCTTATGCTCCCAAATGATACACTGTTTTAAACAAATACTCTAATAGCCAAAAGAACTGGAGAAAGAACAAGTTTTCAAGACCCCTACTGTAAGAGCAACATCAAAGTCATTTGGACAAATATGGTGAACTCAATCTTCATGCTTACTGCTAGCCTTTTTAAAGCAGCACTTGCCCAGCATGGTAGGAAAATGAATGTAGTGTTTCACCTCCAATAATTTAAGAAAACTGGCTTAAGAGGGGCACACACAGTGAGAGTAAGCCCCAGCAGTTACATACAGTATCATGGCTTTATTTTGGCATTTCTACTGATAAAAAAAAAAAAGAAAGAAAAAGAAAAAATGATACATTTGTGTTTTAATGATGAGACGTGCATTTAAATTTCTAAACAAAGCTGCTCCTGGCACAATTTTGTCTAGGTAAACTGAGTCAAGGGAACATCATACCCTTTAAGATAAATGTTAAAAAAACATACTGGATGCTTGTAATAATGAAGGAAAAAGGAAAAGATCATACCAAAATTCACTCATTCACAGGACAGGCATTATGCTATCTATAGTAGCAAACCTTTGAAAGGATTTTTGACCACTTAATGTATCTCGGAGGCAACATCAAATTCTAGAGGACATACATACTTTCTACATTATATACTCCAGCTGGTTATTAAGATATTCTAAAAGTAACATAAATACATATGAGAAAAGAATGAGAGCTAATGTGATTTAAAACTAGCTTTGTATAGAATTCCTTTTTCATTGCTTAAAATTGGAACTTCCTCAGGAAGAAATGAAATGGTTATTTCAATGTTTATAGCTATGATATTCTTGTCATTCACATTGAATGAAAATTACTGGAAACATTTTTTCTCTGAGTTTTTTAAAATAAAAAAGCTGAATATAATTCTGATAGTAGCATGGTACCTCATATGTACAACAATAAACTGTGATAAGAAAATGTAAAGTTTGGGCCTGGTGATTTTAGGTAATAAGCAGGTATTTGATTGTTTGTGTTTGCCGGGGACAGAGCAGGAGGTGGTTATAGAACCCAAGTACCACTAATATAACTCAAAATGGAGAGACGCATGGAAAACTTCCAATTAGAAAATAGGTAAGTTTATTTTTTTTTAAGATTTTATTTATTTATCTGACAGAGATCACAAGTAGGCAGAGAGGCAGGCAGAGAGATAGAGGAGGAAGCGGGCTCCCTGTGGAGAGAGAGCCGGATGTGGGACTCGATCCCAGGACCCTGAGATCATGACCTGAGCCGAAGGCAAAGCCCTAACCCACTGAGCCACCCAGGTGCCCTAGGTAAGTTTTTTTTTAATAATATAACCCTGCAAAGATCTTTTTAATCAATAGTAGCCATTTTTTTTTTTTTTTTTTTTTTTTTTAGTTCTAATAGATATGAAGCAACAACTAGGGTCACTGTGGGATCCTAGAGTCAGAGAATAAGAGAAACACACAGCTGTTACTTAACAAACTTGAGAACCTGAATGATTACAGTGTTTCTTACTTCTAGTACTCTGTTCTGCTGCCCACAAATGGTCTCCTTTCTTTAGAGCTTTAAAAGGTGTCAACTAATCTCTCTTTTATTAAAAATCTATCAAAAAAATCTCTTCCAAAAAAAACCACAAAACCAAACAAACAAACAGATGTGCGGGGAGGCAGCCATTTATCCACATTTTCCGCAAACTTTTTTTCCTCTAGTCCAGCCCCTTTCTTCCTTGGAATTCATATTTTCTCATGTTGCAATGCCCCCCAGCCATCCCCATCTACATGCACCATTTGATTTCCCCATAGGTTTGTCTCCCACACACAGAGTTCTCTAGTATGGAATACATCAGACGACTCATTTTCTCTCTAAATATGTTATCTTATGTTCCATCTACTCCAAGACCAACTGGTGATGGTTAATAAACCAACTGCATCAATGTTAGTGGCTTTTTATGACTTAAAATATTATTATACTTTCCAGAGATATCAGTACTGCAATTTCCAAGAGAGATGTTTTAACCCGAAGTCTAACTAATGCAGAGGCACTGAACTGTTCATACATTTGGTATGGAGGAATTTCTCTAATTTTAAATTATACTCTATCACTGAATTCTATTCTCCCAAAGCTGACTCTTCTTGGTTACCACCTACAACATAGCTGCTGCCTTCTTCCTGCCCGTCCCACCCCAAGCACACATACCACCATCCTGAAATAGCTGGCAGTCATAGAAAGAGCAATGAATACTTGTCGTGGATAATCCTTAAGAAATTATTTGTGTTGGATAGAAATATCTACCTTCTCTTCACTTACTTTACCTAAGAGCAGACTAAATTTACAAGGTCAAGCCATGTCTTGGTCAAGCCAAGACAGTGTGACATTTATTCCATTCTCAAGAAAACCTAGACTCTACTTTGAGTATGCCACTCACTTGCAGCCAAAGGTACCTAACAGAATTTTGGGGCCACGTCCCACTACCCAGTGCTACCACTAGTTCTTGCCATTTATTGTCCTCAATAAATTATCTGATAGAGTTCTCTATACATTCACTGCTCTCAACAAAGGTCACAAAGAATTTATTCACTTATTTATTATTATACAAATTGTACTCCTTGTACCTTATTATTATTCGAAGGTACCCCTTGTACCGTCTTCCATTAATCATATATCAATCTTAACCTGTGAGTTTCTATAATTTCTCAGCCTCTGTCCAAAAGTTATAATTATAAAGACTAGTAAATCTTAAAATTGGAACCCACTATATTTTCACCATCTCCTCTGGAGCACCTCTTAGAGAAAGGAATCATGACTAGTGTCAGTAAGTATTTAAGAAAGACATTTACTTTCCAGATTTAGGCAAATATTTTATTTGCCTAGCAATCCCTTTCAAGGAAGTGAAAAAAATTTCACAAATTTATTACCCGCAGCATAAAGTCTCCAAGATATTGTTAGGAGGAATGTATTTACCCACATTTTATCATACAGAAAACTGAATTAAGCTTAATGAAATGTGAAACATTTCCAAAGCACACAGGATCTGCGACAAACCTTACATAAAACTGTCTACATCAAGCTGCTTCTTGGTTATGAGGGGATAAATTAAGTACAGGAACTGCCTGCTGTCTACATATCTGATGCCAAAATGCTCTATTTCAAATCAATAACTAAAATGCAAAGCAGATCTTGCTCTTAAATATTATGCATAATTTGTACAGTCGGACCAGAGAAGATTGCTCTTTTTTTCTCTATTTGGTAAATAATATTCTGAATCTGATTCTTT